GCCTAGACATTTGTCTTCTCTTTCAGTTTTTAGAAATAGTTTTTAAGTTTAACAGACAACAAACTGGTTGTGAATTTCATGGGATGTAATAAAACAATAGATCTGTTGGGGAGAGCTGACACCGTGGAGATGTTCAGTCTCCTTTTGAAGGACATAACGCCATACGCCATTTTTTTTTCATTTATTTTACTATTTTACTATATTTTGATACCTTTTATAGTTTATATTATTCATTAGACATAGGACTTCAAACAGTTGTTGGCTTGTTGGTGGCAGTTCAGTGTACTGAGATTTGTGTATTGAATTTGCATTCTGAAAACTTACTACGAATATTATGTACACAGAAAACAAATGTACAGTCACTGAAGCACTGTAAAGGGAATGTCTGAGTAATGACAACCAGGCAAAACTTGGAAGAAGCCTTCACACCACACACCCCACTTAAAATGATTTCTAAATGCCTAGTTATCCCATTTGTCTCCAATTGAAGCCAGTTTTATGAATTATAAGGTCATTTCCTTGTTTTCCTTCGTAGCTTTATAACTGGTGTATGCATTCCTGTATCAATATACTTTATTGTTACACATTTTTAGGAAAATGGTATCATTCTATATGTAATATTATTTTGTTTTTGTTATTTTTACTGTTATACATCTTCCATGGAATGGTAGTTTCTTTACTTTTTTATTTTATATATTTTATTTTTCAGGACAGTTTTAGATTTACAGAAAAATGGAGCAGAGTTACCGTATACCCCTTCTTTCCAGCTGATAGTTTTATCTATTTTTAACATGTTGCATTTGTGTGGTGTATTTGTTACAGTTGATGAGCCAATATATTATACTGGATGACGATGAGACTTGAATACATTATTATAAAGTCCATACTTTAGGATTCACTCTTTGTGTTGTCCAGTTGTGTGGGTTTTGACAAATGCATGTATCACGTATCCACTGTCACAGTATCACACAGAAGAGTTTCACTGTTCTGAAAATTCTCCGTGCTTCACCTATTTATCTCCCCCTTATTCCCACTCTTCCTCCTGAATTTCTGGCAACTACTGATGTTTTTTCAGTAAAAAAAAAAAAAAAAGTTCTGCTTTTTCCAGAATGTTATTTACTTGGAATTATATTGTATGTAGCTATTTCACACTGGCTTTTTTTACTTAGCAATATGCATTTAAGGTCTCTTTTTGTCTTTTCATGGCTCGATAGCTCATTTTTTTGATAATATTCTTTTTTATGTATACATCACAGTTAATGAATTCACCTGTTGAAAAGCACATCTTGGTTGCTTCTAGATTTTGGCAATTATAAACAAGGCTACTATAAATGTTTTTGTGAAAACTTGTATGGACATTAGTTTTCATCTCATTTTGGTAACTACTTAGGAGTGTGATTGCTGAAACCTATGGTAAGTTTTCCTTCATAAGAGCATGCAGATTGTCTTTCAAAGTGGCTGTTCTATTTTTCATTTACACCAACCATGAGTGAGAGTTCCCA